GATTGAAAAATTTTTTGTATATTTATGAAACGAAGTCGAAATAATATAAAATCTAAGGAATTTACCGAAATACATTTTTATGGACGAAGCTAGTTCTGAATTGTTTATATTTTCAGAAATATTAACCATTTATATGAGTGTCTTGGGAGTCGAAAGAATAGAATTTTTACTTATTTTTAATGATTCAAAATCTCAAAAAAGTGATCAAAATTTTAAAAAGAAAATATTAAAATTTAAACGGTTGAGCTCTGGATATGCTGACATAGAAAGCAATTTAATATCGGACAGGAAAACGTTTATTTGTTTTTATTTGAATATGCATATTTCTGCAATAATGATGTTCACTGAATCGACACGTATACTTCCATGTGAAGAAAAAAAGTTTTTTTTAAAAGCATTATTAACTTTGGTAACGCTAGATATACCACCATTTTCAGTATACTATTTTTCTACCACACCAGTCAAAACGACTGGTGTATAAAAAAAAATCATATGTGCAGAAAACACGTGTTAAAAGTAAAACCTTCCAAAAACTAAGTTTCGAGAGAATGAGACGAATGCAGAAGAGTATCAGAAGTAGGATAATTGTAGGGTTTATTTGGTATAATATTATCATTATAATATTGTTATCATCATATTTAAAAATAATTTTCCGTGTTATTGACTTATAATATATATAAGATTTATTTAATTTAAAAGAAGTATTTATTACAATAAAACAATAGATAACATATTTGTATTGAATTATCTGGTGGGAAGACAAGGGAGGAGAGAGAGGGGGAGCTGGTGTCGGCGTTCGTAGACTTTAAGGCGGCTTTTGATTCGGTCGATCGGGAGGTGCTGCTGCGTGGGATGGAGAAAAGAGGGATAAGAGAAGGGCTCAGAGAAAGGGTGAAGGAAGTGCTGAATGAAAAATCGAATAGGGCAATGGCAGGGGGGAGGAGGGTGATAGACTCTGGACGGCAAGAGGGGTCAGGCAGGGGTGCTCAATGAGCCCGATGCTCTTTAACCTTCTGATTGCAGACTTAGAGGAGGAGCTGTTGAAAGGAAGATGGGGTGGGGTAAAGGTGAGAGGGAGGAGGATTTGCTCACTGGCTTATGCAGATGATGTGGTTTTGTTGGCGGAAAGGGAGGAAGAATTGGAGAGTATGCTGAGGAGAATGGAGAGATACTGCGATAAGAGGAAATTGGAGGTCAGTGTTGAGAAAACGAAGATTGTGAGATTTAGGAGAGGAGGGGGAAGAAATAGAGATTCACTGGAATTGGAAGGGGAAGAGAATTGAGGAGGTGAAGGAATTCAGGTATCTGGGCTATGTGTTCAGGAAGAATGGAGGTCAGGAAGCACACGTGAAGGAGAGTGTGAAGAAGGCAGGGGTCGCAATGAGGCAGATTTGGGAATTGGGAAGGAGGATGTTCGGCAAGGATTGGGTGAGGAGGTTGTGGCTATTTGACACGCTAGTGTGGACGGTGTTAAGTTATGGAGCGGAGATATGGGGGTGGGAGGAGAGGAAGGAGATCAAAGGGGGGGCAGGAAAGATTTTTGAGGTGGACTATGGGAGTAGACTGGAGGACACCAGTGTACATGGTAAGAGAAGAAGGGGAAAGAGACAAATTGGAAATAAAGGCGGCGAAGAGAGCGTGGAAGTACGAGGAGAAATTAAGGAGAGGAGAGGGAAGTGAGCTGGCGAGAGAGTGTTGGAAGGAGGCGCAGGAGAGAGAAAGGGAGGAGGAAGTACAGAAGTCAAAGTGGGAAGTAGAGAGGATAAAGTTTAAAGAGAGGTTAGCGCAGGGCAAGGTGGAGGTGGTTGAAAGGTGGGAAGAGATTGAGAAGAAGAAAAGAAGGCGACAGGAGGTTGAGAGATGGGAGAAAATACTAGAGTCCAGATATAACGTGTGGTACAAGACGGTGGTAGCGGAGGGTTTGCCAGGATATTGGGTAGGAAAGTGGAATGAAGAGAGAAAAACAAGAGTGGCGAGATTTAGATTGGGGAATGAGATGAGGGAAGGGAGATACTGGGAGGAGAAGAAGAAACAATGCAGGGTGTGTGGTTGGGAGAGAGAGACATGGGGGAAGGGGGAAGGAAGGGGGAATGAGGGAGAGGGTAGTGTTAAGATAGGTTAAGGAGATAATTGTAAAAGGAGTGTAACCCTTCGGGGAAACAGTAAATAAATCTATCTATTACAATAAAACAAATACTTAAATATTAATGTTTAATGTAATAAGAATAAAGAGATAGAAATCGAAATAAAAAGTAAGTAATAATAGTTGAAAATCTTAAACTCGTAATTGCACTCGTATCACACTCGTTCACTCAAAACTAATCGTACCGAATCATGAAGGAGCTGCTCGCTGTTTTTTTCGCCTCGTTAATATACCCATTCACCCCTATCAGTGGTCCTAATCATTTCCGTCAATCCTTTTCAAAATCTCTAGACTATTCCCCATCAATTAAACAAAGGACCTCCGATTTCCCATTCGGGAATATTCGAGAAACTTCGGGGCGCTTACAAAACAATAATATCTGATGATATCGCTATGCACGCTCGCTTTTCATTCCTGTCCGTACATTTTCTTTGGCAGATAAAAATAACACTACTGTTTTAAGAGTACTTTATGGTCATCTGATACTATACGGCATTAACATATTTTTGAAGGGAACAATTGATAATATGTAAAAATCATTATTCCGTCTATTTAAAGTCAAACAGTGTGAATATTATATCCAAAAAATAAAAACTATCAAATTCAGTATTACCATTTGTCTATAATTTTTGATGATATATACTTCAAACATTGTTATAATTTGTTTATTTAGGAAATAATAATAAAAATCCAAAAATACTAGTATTTTATTGAATAATTTCACATATGTTTAATGAAAAGTAAAAGTAAAATTTGGACACAAATGAAAAAAATTAGGTTTCTCTTTTAAAATATAATTCGTCATCAGAATCAGCAACTTAGTCGTCATCGGAATCATCGTCCTCATCGATGTCCGAATTCTCTTCTTCATCACTTTCGAGAACATAAATATGTTTTCATTATCAAAGTGTTACGTGCAAATTAAAAATGTAAGAATAAATTTTTTTACGTATAATGTCATCAGCTTATTCGCCTGCATCCTCATCCGATTCAATTTCATCACTGACTTTTTCAGGGCATTCCTCGTCAAGAAACCAATCGAAATCATATCTCTTATCATTTAATATACATCCACAGTTAATTGGTAACAAAGTTGACGGAGTGTTTGTGTAGGCATTACACCAAATTTGTGCTATAGGGATTGAGAAAGAACTGTAGAGGCAGCACTATTGCTGAAAGTGGAGCGATCTAGTGTAATAAATATAAAGCTTAGTGATGAAAACATTGTAATAATTAGTATTAGTTGACATTAAGAATGCAAAAAATAATTAAATTCTGGTTCTTGCCCGTCAAAAATACTCTTATTAGGGATCAAAATGACATTAAAGGTAAAAAATTATTCGAGTCAGGATACGTTTTAAATGTTGTGGAAACAGAAGATTCCAATAAACATTCAATAATAACCTGCTCAGTTGTAGCTCAAACCAAAATTTCCGATGTGTACAAAATAAAAATT